ATTGGAATTTTGGTAGGAGCTTTCCTTGGTGGCCATTTATCAGACAGGTGAGTGTCTGTGCTTTGCAGTTCTCTCTACATGTGAGTATTTTCATCATCTACAACTCATTCATCTAAAAAACAGTCATTGCAGATTATGTTCCTCTGGGTGTACCTTTTACACTAGAGATCACTAAATACAAACAGACATTTTATTTGGTGTTTCAAGGTCTGTGTGCTGTGTTGACTCAGAACTAACAGTCTATTAAACATGGAAGAAGTCAAAAAAGATTAAGAGACAAAGAAAAACATGGTATAGAAAAATGAGAAAAGTTAACCACAGGGATTACACAAAATACTCTCTATTTCTTCTTTTTAACAACTCTATTATTCTGCTGAAGGAGACTTTCTCTTTTCCTCAGGCTTGGGAGGAGGTTAATCCTCACATGTGCTTTACTTCCAATGGCCATCACTGGGACCTGTGCAGCTTTGGCTCCCACCTTCTTCATCTACTGCTTACTTCACTTCCTGAAAGGGGCTTGTGTCCCAATCATATACATGAATTGTGTTTTTCTCAGTAAGTCAGAGCTTTTGATGGACATTGTTCAAGCTTTGTTTGATGTTGATGTCCTTCCCATCTTGAGTAGAAATCAATATTCATTTTTCTTTCCTTTCAGTGATAGAATGGACAAGCCCTAAATTCAAAGCCTTGGTGACAACCTTGATATTATGTGCTTCCAGTTTTGGAAGAATAGTAATGACAGGACTGGCATTTGCATTTCGAAACTGGCACCACCTCCAGCTGGTAATGTGTGTGCCAATATTTTTCTTCCTTATACCCACAAGGTATGAGCTTTCTTTCCTCCTCTATGGTTTGCACTCCTGAGATGACCATGTCCATTAAATCTGGATATAAGAAATGCATTGGTCACTGTCTCTGTGAGCTTATATATGTGTCAGTCCTGTTGTGTCTGGAAGACAATGTTTCATTGTATCATTGCTCCTCTGGGTGATATAATTAGGGGAAAATTATTAATGGGTTCTTAATTAAGGGAACAGACATACGATGAATAAATATTACTGTTGCATGAATCTTAAAGATTTTATTAATAAAATCAAACCTGAGCCAGGTATTGGGGTGAACAGTGGAAGATCAGAGAGACCGAACAAGCCACAGCTAACCTCACCTGGCCAATTTCTCAGCTAATCTTGTTTCCTCAGACTGGAAGCCTCTGTGTCCTCATATCCAAATGGCTCTCAGCTGAACTATACTCTCAAAACCTAAAAGCTTAACCAAATGCTTCTAGTTTCTGGTTCTCACGCCTTATATACCTTTCTGCTCTCTAACATCACTCCCTAGGATTAAAGGATTGCTATCTGGGATTAAAGGCGAGAGTCACCATGCTTGGCTACATCCTTGAACACATGGATTTCTGCCTCTGGAATGCTAGGATTAAAGGCATGTACTACCACTGCCTATCCTAAGTATCTAGTGGCTTTTCTGTTCTCTGACCCCAGATAAGTTTATTAGGGTACACAATATTTTGGGGAACACAATACCACCACTTATTCCCTACAGTCTAACAAGAAATTTGGAAATTATCTGGAGAAACATCCTTCACATTCTAGTTCTAGGACCTCCATTAAATCCTGTATCCAAGTGAGGGGGACAGATCAATGTGACTCCAGGTCTTCATTCTAGTAGTGCAGATGCACTGCATGGCTGCATCACTTCCTGTTTTCCTAGGCAACGAACCTCATGATGTAAGATTATACATTTTGTTATAACTGAATAACTGATAGGTATTCATTTTAA